TGGTGAGTAGAGCCTCATCAATTCCCTTCTGTGCCCCCATGATGAATTTATAGGCAGCCACAAGGTCGCCTCTCAGCCTTCTCTTGCGGAGGCTGAAGAGGTCCAGGTGCCCTAGTCTCTCCTCGTAGGGCTTGGCCTGCAAACCCTTAACCATATGAGTGGCCCTTCTCTGGACCCTCTCCAGGTTATCCAAATCCCTCTTAAAGTGTGGCGCCCAAAACCGGACACAGTACTCCAACTGGGGTTTGACCAGCGTCCGATAAAGGGGAAGTATCACCTCCTTGGTTCTGTTTGTCATGCATCTGCTGATGCACAATAAAGTGCCGTTAGCTTTGCTGATGACTTCGTCACACTGATGAAATTAGTCAAATCAGTTCCAAATTCCATCTACTGAGCTCAGTTGTTCGGGTCCATGTGGTGTTACCACCAGCAAGAATCTTACCTCCCAGACACTTCATCTTGAGGCTTCAGATGCTCCCAAATCCATGGCAGGCATCCTACATGTAAGCCCCAAGCCCAGGGATCTTGTGGTTCGGATGCTCCTGAGTCTCGCTTGCCCTTACCCAGAAGAGCAAGCTAGGGAGAAATGCCCCACCTGCATAAAATAAAGTGTGCAGCTGAGATCTTCCCATTGCGAGGCTATAATAGACTCTCGTGGAAGGGCCTGCCTACAGTGCAAAGGAGAAGTCTCCATGCTCAACTACACAAAGCCATGACAGATCAGGGAGAAGGGGATCTCCCATTCCAAGTACAGCAAAACCACCTTTCACAAAAATAAGTTAGTGAAGCCCATCTGAATAATATATATGATAGTGCCCATTGCACTGAGTCCCCTTCAGCACTAACTCTTTTTTCAAGTCATTGTGAGCCACTACAATGAATATATTTTGATTTCCTCTTCAGTCCCACAGCTGAGCCATGCCTTTCTTTCCCATTTCTAATTATTCCTGTTTCTTTACCAACTGTCTGGCAAACATCACCAAAAAGTTCACCCAGAATCCCTCTGTCAACCCCTATCTCAGCCTGTGACATATGATTAGTGTGGCCCTGCCCTCCATGCGGTAGAGCTGGACCAGGTTGTCCTGCTACTCATCTGCATATACATTTTTGAAGGATCCCAAGACTCTTGACAAAAACACCTGGTTCCAGTCATGAGTGGGGGGCTACTGGATCCTTGTGTGTGGTGAGAGGTGGTATCTGGAGTGCACACACATCCTGAGTAGTGCTGAGCTATGGGGTCACCATGGCCAGAAATGCTGTTAACTCTTCCAGTGGCCTAGCACAATGAACTATATGGTAAATCACGAGCTTTCACTTTGGACTAATATCATGCATTGTTTGCTACGTAGTAGGTACTCTTGTGGGCTAAGATCAAGTATAGTCGCTGCACGGGTCTGTTACCCAGACCGAGATGGATTTAAATGGCATTGTGTAGTGGAGGGTGCACACCTGTCCAATGCACTGTGGACAAGACACCCTATGAGTCTTGTAATTAGCTTCCCAGTGGCCAGTTTCCAGTGGGAGGATCTCGGCTACACACTTACTTTATGGAAATGGGGGACTCCTCCCTAGCTTGCTGCTGTGACCATTGGCTAAAGGCAAGTGGGACTCAGGGGCATCTAAACGCCAAGCCTCTGGGCTTAGGCCTGCATGTAGGATGCCCACCAATGGATTTGGGAGTATCTGAAGACCCAGGCTGAACAGTCTGGAGTGGAGGATACTTGCTGGTTGTAGCACCGCATATAGTGTTTGAATGATTGAGTTTGCTCAATCAAGAGGATTCAGAACTGACTTGGCTGATTTGACCTGGAATACAAAAAATTTCCCCCCCAAAAAAGTTTGCTATATAGAAGGTACAAAAGTGCTGCTTGAAAGTGTGTTTGTGGAGTACTTGTGCTAAAACTTGCAGCAGTTTCAAAAAAGGAAAAATGCATTAATTCTGGATGCACTGAGTCTATGATCAGGGGGAGTAGGGTCTGACAGTAAGGAGAGGGGGAAGGGTCTATAGGGAAAGGAAACTGGGAGGCCAGAGGGCAAGGAGGCCACCTGACCTCCCCAGATTTATTTTTCCTGTTCTAACAGTGGGAGGTGGACAGATTCAAGGCAGACCTCCAATAATTAGATTCTATACCTGAAAAATTATAACAAATTTATAAATTTGCCATAGAATATAATTATTCGGGGGTTGTCTTATGTTCAGTGTCATCTTATATTCAAGTAAATACAGTATGTCTTTTCTATATTGGGACAGAAGCCAGATGATATATTCATTTCATGATGATGAATTAGTTTCCATTCCAACACTAACTGAGGAAGATGTCATAGCACTGGTATGAAAATTAGTTTAAATAACCAGATAAATAACTTGCACACAGGAGTTGTAAATGAAATGGATGAGGAGCTCTTTTGAATCTTAAAATTATTTTAATAAGTCTTAGGAACATTTGGGAAGTTCTACAGGTCTGGAAGAAAAGTAACATAGCACCAATATTCACAAAGGTGAACAAGATTAGTTAGATAATTGTAACCCTAACATTGATCCAAAGCAAAATAATGGAAAAATTGATAAAGCTTTTAATTAATAAAAAGTAAATGTGAACTAATATAATGCTGATGAACTTGGGTTTATTAAAACAGATCCCTTGAACTTGAGAACTTTTTTGATGAGATTGCAATATATTTCTTTAAGGCAGTTGTTTTGATAGGGCACAGAATTTTCATTAAGAAATGAGAATGATGGAAAATCAATGGGTCAGTCATGTTGTAGATTAAAAACTGCTTAACTGCTAGATCTGTAGTTGTGAAAAAGAGAAAGTGACTATATTTCAAGTGTGAGGTCCTTCAAAGATTAGTCCTTGGTCACATGTATTTAACATTTTTGTCAATGACCCGGAAGAAAATGTAAAATCATTGTGGATACATTTTATATATGAAAAACATCGGGATAGTGGCATTGGTGATGTGTAGGGGGTGAACACAGGTGCACGTGCACCCCCGGCAAAAAGCACCACTGACACTGCTGGCAGCACCTGTCTGCAGTTGCAACTCACACCCCACCCTGCCCACCCAGTGGCGTCTGCAGGCAGTCCCCAATTGCTGCTGGCTGCCGCCGATGCTGCTGGCAGTGTCTGCAGGTGGTCACCGACTGCTGACAGCGCTGCAGCTGCCTGCAGGAACTCACTGCTTGCTGCCACCACACTCCTGCTGCCAACAGTGCTGCAGGAGCTTGCCATGTCCTCCCAGCCTCCAGGGGCATACTGGTAAATAATGAAGAGGATAAAGTCAACAAAACATGGAGATCTAAATCACTTGATATTCTGGGTACATGCAAACAATCTGCATTTCAGTAGAGATAAATGAAAGGTCAGGAGAATGTGACCAAAATGAAAAGAGAAGAGAACAGTATGCAGTTACCATGACAGAGTGGTAATCCCTTGCTTCAGAACTTTTGCTCATTGCCTGTAGAAACAAGGAAGGCTTTTTGTCCTTGTGGATACTACTGGCTTCTGAAAGGCAAGGTGTGGCAAAGTCATTACTTTCCACACAAGCATTGGGACATTAGCTTATCCCAGTAAAGAGATTATGCTCTGAGGAACTAAAATTATAACCTGTTGCACATTTTAATGAAAAAATGTCAATGTATGTCTTTTTTCCCTTTCTTTGTTTAGGTGGTTCACCAGCTGTAAGCATGAACTCCAGTCTGTCTCTATCAAACCCCATTTCAACTCATACCATTTTGCCCCAAAATTCTAGCCTTTTGTCAGCTCCACCTGGAACCAGGATGCCTTCTATTCCTGCAGCTCGGAACATGAACTGCTATGGAAACATTCCTTGCAATCAGCCCAGTGCATACAGCATAACTTCAGGAATGAACCAAATGCAACCACACAGAAACCAAAACCAAATCATAACAAGTCAAAACAACCCCATGATGTCTCGACCACAAACCCTGACACAAGGAAATAATGCAGCAGCTTTTGGGACTGGGTCAGTGGTCAGCTCTCAGCAGGTAAGACCAAGCTTAAGCCACGGAGCTACAAGTTTCCCAGCTCAAAGACCATCAAATGTTATGATCGCTTCCAGCACTACAGCTCAAAACTGGGCCTCTCAAGAAGCCACAACAAAGCAGCAGGACACACTGAAACCTGCAGGGGTTCGGTTCCCCACAAGCACACCATATCCTAACCAGGCTCTGCAACGCTCCCTAGGCAACCAGCATTTCTCCCCACGTGCGATGGTGCCTCCTAATCAGCTAACAGCAGCAGTGCAAATGAGACCTCCTCTAAACCAAGCACACCAAACATTAAATGGACAAACTTCTGGATCACTAAGAGGTCTAAGCGTGAGACCTAACCAGCTAAGAGGACAGACTGTGCCTAATTTGAATCAGCCAGGAACAAGTATGACCCCACCATCATCCCTGCCATCAACCAGTTTTACATCAACCAACCAAAACTCAAGGGCTTACCAAGGAAATGATCCTACTAGCGACTTATCATTTGACTTTCTTAACCAGCAAGGTGACAACATAGGACCTGCACTCAATAGTGATTCAGACTTTATAGATTCTTTATTGAAAACAGAGCCTGGCAATGATGACTGGATGAAAGATATCAACCTTGATGAAATCTTGGGGAACCACTCATAAGCAACAATATGATGATAAAACATACATGTTAAGAAGCAGCTGTTAACAATAGTTTTCTTTTTAAAGGCCAACAATCTGCCTTGTTTATTTACACACTAGTAGTTGGGCTGTCTTTTAAAATAAGGAAGCAAATAGAGTGATTGCTCTGTTTCAAGAGATGGTCTGAGAACAATATCCAATTCTAAAGCTTACCCCAACTAAAGTATAATGTAGGATGATATTCATACCTAACAACTCCCCCTGAGAGTACTCAATCCCTGACAGAATCAGGTCCTGTGTAAATTCAACTGCTAAAAAAATCTGCCTAATAGAAGCATACTTCTTTCTTTCCATTGTCTTTTATTTGTATATGCTCACATACTACATGTACCATTTTCCACAAAATCAGCCTTCCAAAATTGGGGTCTTAAGAAGAGAAGCTGATTTGTTTTCAATGGAATAGAAGCACTGTAAGAGACACTCTGTTAAATGGCTGTCAAACGGCTGGCACTTCTCCATGGGGCAGCAAGCAGTTTGCTAAACCTCTGACTGCAGCTAGTAAGGCAATAGCTTTTGCCTAAAAAGCCACTCAGCTGGCCGAGGGTGAGCGAGCTGCTATATGCAGTCTGTAGTGTCCTGACGAGGTATGGTGTGGAAACAACACTTGATTATTTACAGGAACTTACATAAGGAACTATGTATAGTAATGAAGTAACTGTCTTGCCACTGCCCTTGCAAGGGTCTGGGCCATAGCCTTGTTGCCATTCTGCCATGCCAGGAAGTTCCTGCTGCCTCACACAGGTTGTCTCCTGGGGTGCCACAGTTCTGTGTTTCCAGGAGGACTTACCCCATGTCACAGAGTTGGCCATGACTTGGGAAAAAAATCTTTTTTCTGCATTCTGCTTTTCAAAAGCAAGGTGCATATTTTATTTGGGGGGCATGTGATATGTGAGGAAATGCAGTAACTTGTGTAGAAAGTAGAAGGACAAATGATTCCTTTAAGGGAGCTAGGAAGTGTCTTGTGTGAGAGAGATCCCAGAGTATTCTAGCTTTTACTGTTACTCCTGGCCTTTTGTTTGTAACTGCCTGAGAAATGTAATAAGAAGGGCTATTCTAAAAATGAGTAATAGCATCAGTCTAGTTTCTGGCATAAATATGTGACGAGCCATTACAAAATCTAAGAGCCAGAGCCTACGGCTTTGGTCCCTCAAGCAGATTGGTGACTTCAGTGGACAGCTTGAGTGAAAAAGGTAGACAGGATTTGGCTCTAAAGAGCACTTTCCAATCTAAACCCAAGTTTTCTACATGGCCAATTATTTACTTATCCCTTAATGAAAGGTTGATGCATATTTCTGTATATAGAAAGACATCTATTTTGATTTTGATTCAAGAACATGCCATTCAGTGAGGGGCTGGTGAAGAATATCGATATCTCCCTCATTCTTCAGGTCAAGGGAGTCCAAAAAGTGATATATATGAGTGCTAAGAGCACTGATGCTGGCTTAATGGATGCTTACCAAGGGCCATATTCCAATACCCTTCACAGGATGAGTAGTACCTCATTCTGTGAGTAGTCCCATTGAAGGTAATGTATGCAATATAAATTGAAATCAAATCAGTTCATAATATGAGGCACGTCTCAGCCACAATCCATAAATCCAAAGCTGGCTCTGTGTAAACACTTCATAGCACTCAATTCAAAAAGCAGTTTTGTGGTTGGCTTTGTTGCTCTCCCTGTCATTGTCCTAGCAGAAAAAGTTTCTGTGATCAAGGTAAGGAAGGTGTCTCTTGAGCTGAAGAATTCTTCACAGCCTTTTCTGAACCATCCAAAGCTGATTATAGAGCCCACTTTTAGATGCTTCAAGGCCAGGAGTTAACCAGGAGCTTATCACCGCAAAAGATATCATTATACCTTTATTATGTGTTTTGATTAATAAATATGTATATGTAACAGTGACAGGTGTTGGCCACTTTGCAGTATTTATTGTACTTATTTGATCAATTGCTGAACAGTAACAGGAAATGTAGCAAAGCCCCTCTCCATTGATTATTTCTATATATATTATGGATAAATTCCTTCTAGGGGGCTCTTGGACTACACAATACACACACACTTCCATGAACAGCAGCTCCATACCCTTTAGGAAGAGCATGCTCTCACTGCCCATTTACCCATTTACCCAGCTCTGCTTATCAGTGCTGGTGGGCTGGGACCTAGATTCTGTCTATTCCCCAATCTTCTTGCAGATCTGGAGGCAAGATGTACTTATACCCTCTCCTCCCAAACTTTGTGTATCTGTGCAGAATCTAGACAGTCTTATCCCAAGGAAACAGTTAAGGTGCCTGCATGTATAGCTGCATTGGAATAGTAGTGTGAGGATGATGTGCACAAAAGGTTGTGGCTGGAGAGTTGCCTTCAGGGGCAGA